GGGAGAGCTCAACCCGCTGCCCTACAACCCCGCCGCCTCGGGTGCGGCGCCGATGCCGGCCTCTGTTCCGGGCAGCTTCGACCCGGCCGCGTACGCAGCGCAGCACGGCACGGGCCTTGCGGTTGCTCAGTTAATGAATAACAATCCGCGAGTACTCGTTCTTAATAATGAATTAAGCACCGGCCCGGCGGCGCCTTCGACGCAGGTCGCCGTCGCGGGCACGGTTCCACCGCAGGTGACTCCCTTGAACCATGCTAGCAATGGGCGGGGGAGGGAGCCGCGCTCGGACTAGGTGGGAGGGAACCGTGCTACCAATCGGTGTGTGGTGGGGGGAACCAGCTATTCCTAGCACGGTTCCTCCCAACATTCCTAGCACGGTTCCCTCCACCACACACCCATTGCTAGCACGGTTCCCTCCCACCCAATCCTAGCACGGCTCCCTCCCCCGCCCATTCCTAGCATGGTTCAAGGCAGTCACCTGCGGTGGAACCGTCCCCGCGACGGCGACCTGCGTCGAAGGCACCGCCGGGCCGGTGCCTAATTCATTATTAAGAACGAGTACTCGCGGATTGTTATTCATTAACTGAGCAACCGCAAGGCCCGTGCCGGGCTGCGCTGCGTACGCGGCCGGGTCGAAGCTGCCCGGAACAGAGGCCGGCATCGGCGCCGCCCCCGGGGCGGCGGGGTTGTAGGGCAGCGGGTTGAGCTCTCCCTGCTCTTGGATCAGGCCGCACTCATCAATTCGTGGCGGGTGAATGACAATTAATTACGAATGAACGGCCTGCTCTTGGATCAGGCCGTACTGCAGCGCGGTCTGTCCACACACGAGTCAGCCGTGAAGAGACGCCGTCCACACCCCCTCCTCGAGGGCGGCGGAGGGTAGCTGCGAGGGGAGCAGCACCTGGTACTGCGGGTGGTTGACCAGGTGGGCCGGCTGCGGCGGCGGCTTGTAGGCCTGGCCGCCGTACGCGGTCTCCGGGTTGTAGCCGCCGATGCCCGCGCGCGCCGCCCCCTCCGACTCGATCTCGCGCACCTACAGTTAATTAAGAATGAACGAGTCCGCCTCAATTCAGTTAGAGGCCCCGACTCCGAGTAAATCGCGCGCACGCGGTGCCAGATGATCTCCTTGCCCTTTTGCACGGCGGCGGGCGTGCCGGTGACGGTCACGACGCGCTCGCCTAGTTAACCAGTAATGACTACCCGTTAATTAACAAGTAATAAATGATGCCGATGACGGTCACGAGCCGCTCGCCTAATTAGTAATTAATGACTGGTCATTCACAATGACTGGGCGGTCGTGCCGGTGAGGGCGGCCAGTCCGCTCGCCCGGGACGGGGCTCGGCTCGCCTATTCATAATTAAGAAATGCTCACTCAGTAACCAATCAGCAAGAGGGTAGCGCGGGGCGGGGCTCGGCTCGCCCTTTTGCGAGACGTGGATGCGCGTGCCCGACCGCATGCTCAGGTCCTTGATGCTGGTGCCGCCGCGCCTGTTAATTATTAATTGATAGTCAGTAGTTAATAACCGGGTCCTTGATGCTGGTGCCGCCGCGCCTGTTGATTATCAGTTAATGACTAAGTACTTTCTAGCTGTTCGCAGGTTGTTGATGCTCGTCCCGCCGCGCCCGATCAGCCCAGACACGAAGCGGTCCGGCAGCGAAATCTGCTCCGAAGTTGACCTGTTCACAGCGGCCCGGTGTGAAAGGGGGGGGGGGGAGGGGGTGTAGGGGGCGTCGTAGAGAGGAGTCGTAGGAAAGGGGATATGAGTGTCCTTGAAAACTGTCTCGGAAGGGTCTCGGAAGGGCCTCGGAAGGGTCTCGGAAGTGTCTCGGCAGTGCGCCGCACCCTCCCGACGCGTTAGCGGTCCCGTACGGCGCAACGACCTGCGGCTGCTGCTGCTGCGGCGGGTACCTGTCAATGAGTCACAATCGAGATGTTGCGGGCGATCGTTCAGAACTAAGCGGGGCTGCTGCTGCGGCGGCGGGTGCCCCGGGTGCACTCCGTAAGGGTATGCCGCCGCCGCCGCCGCAGCAGCAGCAGCAGCAGCAGCCGCAGCACCAGGTCCTCCAGAGGCGAGGGCGGCGGCGGCGGCCGCCGCGGCGCCGCCGGGCGGAGGGAAGGCGCCGGGGTGCGGGGGCGCCGCGTGGGCGTGGGGAGCGTACGGGTAGCCGGGCGGCGGGGCGCGGCCTACTCATTATCGCGATGTGTTAATCATGACTCATTGATTAGGGCTACGGCCAGCCGGGCGGCGGGGGCGCGGGCCTATCAAACACCAACGACGTGTCGACTGTCGACTGTCAGTTGGCGGGGAGCGGGCCGGCGGGGTGGCGGGGGGCGCGGGCCGTGTGCGCCGTGCGGGAAGCCGCCCCATTCCGCCCCTCTGCCGGGGGGCGGGGCGGGCGGGGCACGCAAGATCGAGTAGTCCGTCTCCCGGATCTGCTGCGCGGGCGGGGCCTGGAACAGAAAACAACAACGGAGGGATGACTCGCTGGCCG